ATCACACAAGGCAACATGAATGAACCCTGAGGACACTATGCTAAGTGAAATAAGCCAGTCATAAAAGGACAAATGCTGTATGATCACCGAGACAGGAAGTAGAATGGTGGTTGCCAGGGGCTGGGTATAGAGGGAATGGGCGAGTTAGAGTTTAACGGGTATAGAGTGTCGGTCTGGGAAAATAAAAAAGTTCTGGAGACAGATGTTAGTGACTGTTACAAAACAATGTGAATGTGCTTAATGTCACTGAATTGCACACTTAAAAATAGTTAAATGGTTATTTATTTATGTATTTATTGAGGTGGAATTTCCCTCTTGTTGCCTAGCCAGGAATACAATGGTATGATGTCAGTTCACTGCAACCTTTGCCTCTGGGTTCAAGCAATTCTCCTGCCTCAGCATCCTGAGTAGCTGGGATTACAGGCGCCTGCCACCACACCCAGCTAATTTTCTTATTTTTAGTAGAGACAGGGTTTTGCCATGTTGGCTGGGCTGGTCTCAAACCCTTGACCTCAGGTGATCGGCCCGCCTCAGCCTCCCAAAGTGCTGGAGTTACAGATGTGAGCCACCGCACCCGGCCAAATTTTAATTTTAACTTGAAACTAATGCATTTGTCCATTCATCCATTTATGCATTTAGTCTCCAATGTATTCAGGAAACATCTAAGGAGCATTTTCAATATGCCAGGCCAGTGCCGGGTTGGGTTCGAGGATGAATCACTTAGGCAGGCAGCCTCCGATCTCAGGGCCCTCACAGTCTAACAGGGAGACAGCCAATTACACATTTGGGTGCAGGAGTTACACTACAACTGCTCAGGCAATAAAGTATTTTGTCATTTGTGGCCAGATGGATTCCTTTGAACAGTGAGGCGTAATATTTGTTGCTCAATTCCTGTTGGAAAAAACCCTTTGAGCCTCTGACCTGGATATTTTAACCATTGTTTGCTTTTAATTTGTGTTGATGGCAATGTGGCTGTGAACAGGGTGGAAATGGGCAGACAGTCATGCAAGGTCTAAACTATGGGTTCCCTGTGCCCCGAGAGAGACAGAAATAGCTTTTTGTCCTGTCTAGTCTGATAGACTCACTCACTTTTTAGAAGATGGGTCTCCTGGAAACCCTGGATGCTGCTAATTGACAGCCACTGAGTGGTCCTTCCTTGACAGAATAAGTGAGTGACCTCAGCTCCCTCCAGAGAGCAGTGCAACCCACTGCTAGTGGGTGTGAGAGGGAATATGAAGACTGACAGGCCTCTTTTTAAAAGCTGATTTCTTAGCAGAGGTGAATACACTTGTAATGTATTTCCTTTGTAATCATGACATAAAAATAACTTTTTTTTACTATTCAGCCACGAAAAAAAAAAAAAAAAAGAATGAAATCTTGTCTCTCGCAGCAACATGGATGGAAATGGAGAGCATTCTGTAAAGTGAAATAAGCCAGGAACAGAAAGTGAAACACCACGTGTTCTCAGTCATATGCAGAAGCTAAAAAAAGTTCATTTCCTAGAAGTAAAAAGTGGAACAGAAAATAGGAGTTTGGGATGAGTCAGAGAAAGGGGTTGGGGATAGAAACAGATTTGTTAGGGAATGCTGAATACCAGGTAGATGGGAGGAGTAAGTCCTAGCATTGCATAGCACTGAGCGATGGCTAGAGTGAACAGTAATACATAGTTTCAGATAACCAGAAGGAGATTATTAAACGTCCTCAACACACACATAAATGACAAATGTTTAAGATGACAGGTGTAATTACCCTGATCTGATTACTACACATTATATGTATCAAAACATCACTTCATGAATATATACAACTAGTACATCAATTAAAAAAATTAAATTCAATCCCAAAATATAGTATTTTATACTTAAATCATTTTGAACACACTCCTTGCCATTTGTACTTAAAATGGCAACTGGAAATCTTCCCTGCTTGCTCCAGTGACTCCTCTGATACCACCACTGCAGCAGATGACATGGGGCCAGAAGGTCCCCAAAGCAGACCATGAAACATAGCCCTGGACAGTCCAGTACTTTCTTGAAAAACCTAAAGACCTCTTCCAGTGCACTGTCCTTTATGGCCCTTGATATGGTTTGGATTTGTGTCTCCACCCAAATCTCACATGGAATTGTAATCCACGATGTTGGAGGAGGGGCCTGGTGGGCAGTGACTGGATAATGGGGGTGAATTTCCCCTTTGCTGTTCTCATGATGGTGAGTTCTCACGAGATCTGGTTGTTTATAAAAGTGTGAACGGCCGGCGCAGTGGCTCATGCCTGTAATCCCAGCACTTTGGGAGGCCAACGCACACGGATCACCCAAGGCCAAGAGTTTGAGACCAGCCTAACACCAAGAAACCCCATCTCTACTAAAAATACAAAATTAGCCAGGCGTGGTGGCACATACCTGTAATCCCAGCTACTTGGGAGGCTGAGGCGGGAGAATCACTTGAACCCGGGAGGTGGAGGTTGTGGTGAGCCAGGATTGTGCCATTGCATTCCAGCCTGAGCAACAAGAACAAAACTCAGTCTCAAAAAAGAAAAAACAAGTGTGTAGCACCTCCTCCTTCTCTCTCTTCCTCCTGCTCTAGACATGTAGGACGTGCCTGCTTCCCCTTCACCTTCTGCCATGATTGTAAGTTTCCTGGAGCCTCCCCAACTATGCTTTCTGTAAAGCCTGCAGAACTGTGAGCCAATTAAACCTCTTTGCTTTATAAATACCCAGTCTCCGGGAGTTCTTTATGGCAGTGGGAGAACAGACTGATAAAGCCCTCGATCTTGTAGAACTGGTCATATTTGTGTTGCAATGCTACGGACTTAAGCTATTCAACTCTTATTTGCCAAAGGAGTATAATTTCTGAGGCCTTTTTGATGGCTGATGGAAACGGCTGGGTAGAAGATCAAAAGTGAGGCTTTCGAGAAGGCGGGTATGCTGTTTGTACTCCTTCTAGTAAAGGAGGCCCTCAGGTTTTGATTATTTCCTTTCCCCTAACGGCTCCCTTACACTTGAGCTTGAATACACCCAGTTAGGAAAATAATGTGATCTGGTGTAAGCCATGCCTCCAGGTCCCATGACTGCCTTTAAATGAGCCCTTTCATTCTCAGATGCAAAAGGGCTGGGGTGGCGGTGGCGTGGCTGGAAATGGAAAACCTTTATAGGTCTTTCCTAAGACAAACTGGAAGTCTCAGAACCGATACTTCCGTAGCAGTATGTTAATATACGCAGTTCTAGGACAGTGCTTGGCTGTCCCAGAACTGCATATATTAACATACTTCATACTCACAACCACCCATGAGTTAGGTCCTATTAACACCCCCTTTCTTATAGATGGGGGAACTGGAGCATAGATACCCTTTTTCAGGGTCACACGACGAGTAAGCAGCAGGCTGGAGGCCTAACCTAGGTGGCCTTTTTCTACATTTTTTGTAGAAAAGCTCAGCCTTAGGAACCAGAGAGCCTGCTTCTGAATCCAGGCTCTGCACCCATCTAGCCAAGCAGTCAGTTTCCCTCTCTGTGAAATGGGAAGGACCCTCGGGAGCACTCTGTGGTGGTGCAATGGAAGACTCCAGGTACACTGGGGCAGTGAAGAAATGCCAGCAGCTCCCATTCAAACCTCCCCTGGCTTTCTCCCCACACATGGAGACTCAGGGCCTTGTGGCCTGGCCGACACCTGCCCGTCATCATGCCGAACTCAGCTTGCAGGGACGCGTCCTCTGCGAGCTTCCCCTTGCACGTGCAGCAAGACCGCTGTGCATGTGTCTGTGAGGCTGACAACCATGCAGCAGAGCAGAGAGAAGGGGCTTGGGAACCAGCCTACGGGCTTGGAGGAGCTGGCAGGAGGAACATTCCAGGCAAAGGATGGGTAAGCTGGGCAGAGGGTCAAGGAGGATCAGCACCCAACACTGTGCTGCTGGAGGGCAGTGAGCAACTGGAGGGTGATGGGGCCGGGCTGGGGGTGGGCAGGGGCAGAGGGGAGGCCCTGCAAGGTTCAGGATCTAACCATGTGGGCGGCCAGACCCGTGAGGAGGCTGCTACTCCAGGACTCTGGGGCTGGAAGCAGGGCAGGGGAGAGGTCACTGCAGGAGACAAATCAGTGAGATGGCTGCCTAACATGAGATGCATGTGATGGGAGGGACGACGGGGCGGAGGGGAAGGGTGGGAGAGGGGAAGATAGACAGGACGGGGGAGAGGGGAAGAGAGGAAGGAGGGGACAGAGGGGAAGAGAGGAAGGAGGGGACAGAGGGGAAGACGGGCTGGATCTGGCTGAGCCTCATGGCAGTTGCTGCTATTTAACTTTGAATTGATTAAAATTCAATGAAATTGAAAATTCACTTCCTCAGCATCACTAACACATTTCAAACGTTCAGGGTACACATTTGTGCCTGAGGAAATTCTGCTAGGGAAGCCGGGAGACGGGCAGGTGGCTACTTGTGGCCAGTGGCTGCTCTAGGGGAAAGAGCACAAGAAACCACTGCCAACCCTGCAGGATTGTCCCCTGGCCAGCATGGCCTAGATGACACAGCACCTCAGAGCCCAGAGCAGGGCTCAAAAGCAGAGGGAAAGGATGCACCCCAATGCCATGCACTCTCCCTGAACCGCCACGCCACCTCTCCAAGAACAAAGCCAGCCGGCAGCACAGTTGTCTTCGCTTTATTGAGTAAGGCATCCCACTCTCTATCAAGATTCCTCCAAATGAACGGCTGATTTTCCTGCAAAACTATGGATTGGTCAAAGAGAAATCACCACCTGGCCACCCCACTCTGTCCCCCACAGGACACTAAGGATTCTTAGAGACAGAGGGATGATGCATTCGTGCCTAGAGAATTCATCGCACCTGATTTCTCCAAGATCTAAAATTATCTCAAATTTAATTCACTTTATTTAAAGAAAATCTTTTTTTTTTTTTTACAAGCCCCTTCAGAACAATGCTGCCGTCTGTGCAAGACACGTGTAAGGCCACCTCTGTATACTAAGAACGGTGCCCCAGCAGGCGGAAGTTCAGCGCACCTGCTGGGTGCGGGCACATGCCGCGTGCTACATCTTCGAGGCCACCAGCGGGTTCCGGGCATCTGACTCCAGCCACTCAGTGAGGATCTGATTCACCTCGGTGGGCCTGGAGGAAAAGAGGAAATGAAAGAAAACCAAAAGCCATTCACGCTTGTCTGGGCCCACCCACCGAACGCAAAGGCAGAGGTGCACTCACATGAGTGGCTAAGCCAGGCAAAAGCCAGCACAGTGAAATCAGCAAAACTTTTATGGAAGGTGAACCGGGGGCCCAGTGCTCCCCCACCCAGGGGCCCCCAACCTCCTTACTTGTCCATCTGTGTCCAGTGCCCACAGTCCTCAATGTGTCCTCTTTTCAGGTGGGGGATCTGAAAGGAATCCCCACGCAAGAAGGTCAGTGGGACAAAGCAGATGAGTGTGTCTCAGCTTAGTGCAACGGGCAGCGGACGCCTTCTCTCTGCTCCCCGCAGGCCACCCTCCCTGAACACTGCATGATTTAAGGGAATGAGTGAGCAAGATGCCCGTGCAGGGGGAAGAAAGGGCATGGTGATGTTACTGACGAAGCCCTGTCGAGGAAGTGCTTCAACTGCGGTCCCATCTGTATGACAAGGAGTATCCTCCACTGCCAGCTTCCCTCTGAGCACCTGTGCCTCTCCGGGGGAGCACTGATGACCCCTGTGCAGGGCCGTTCCCTCACCCAGTCCTCCATGTGCTTGGACAGCTGAGGAGTGAGCACGAAGTCTTTCTCCGCTGTGACCATCAGGGCCGGAATCAGGATCTGGGGAGAGAAGAGGAAATGGGAGTGGCCAGCATGCCACAAGGGAAGCCCTCCCTCTTGCTCCGCTGTGACTCCCCTGAAAAGACCCCTGCCCGCGGCCCTGCTGTGATCCTGATGTGGTATCTGCCAAACTTCACACAACAGACTCGTGGTGATTACTGGAGATCTTTAAAATGACCGCTCCAGCAGTGCAGGCGCCAGAATGGGTCTTGTGTGTGCACATGTGTGTGAGTGAGAATGTGTGCTGACCTGTGCGTAACTAGGAGAACTGAATCGACCCCACCAAGAGGGCAGAAGACACCCTTGAACAAATGAAGATCAAGATTCGTCTTCTACGAATTAAGCAGATGCCTAAAATGGGCGGCCAAGGTTCCAGAGAGAATGGGGCAGCCACAATAATTACCAATGTGATACAAATGGCAGCAAAGTGACTTCCCTTTTAACTGCTGGCAAATGAGGTTTGCACAGGGAGGCACACATAGGAAAGCCAGGAAAGCCTCTGTTTCTTTGTTCCCGCTCCACCATCACCCCAATTTCCAAGCAGCTTTGACCCATCCCTGGTGAGGAACTTGCACTATTTTCATTTACGCACAGAATGACGGCGTCTCTACACACCCCTACCTCCTCCCACAACCAGGAGCCAGGAGAAGCTCAAAAATTATTTTGTGGTTAAACCGAATCCAGAGGCTTCTATGAGGTTTGTAAACTCTAGAATGCCCCAAGCTAAAATTTGAACTTGGGGGGTGGGGAGGGGCAGGATGGGAGGAGGTGGGAGAGGAGAGAGGAAGATCCAGCCAGAAACTGCAGAAGAGAGGCCATCCCAGCACTTGGGGAGGCCAAGGTAGGTGGAATGCTTCAGGTCAGGAGTTTGAGACCACCCTGCACAACATGGTGAAACTCTTGTCTCTACTGAAATACAAAATATTAGCCAGGCATGGTGGCACACACCTGTAATTCCAGCTGCTTGGGAGGCTGAGGCAGGAGAACTGCTTGAACCCAGGAGGCAGAAGTTGCAGTGAGCTGAGATGGTGCCACTACACTTCACCCTGGGTGACAAAGCAAGACTCCATCTCAGAAAAAAAAAAAAAAATTAGCTGGGCACAGTGGCGAGCACCTGTAATCCCAGCTACTCGGGAGGCTAAGGCAGGAGAATTGCTTGAATCCAGGAACTGGAGGCTGCAGTGAGCCGAAATCGTGCCACTGCATTCCAGCCTGGGCGACCAAGTAAGACTGTCTCCAAAGCAAAAAAAAAAAAAAAGAAAAAGAAACTGCAGAAGAGGGCGGCTTCTGACCTTAGCACCATTGGAGTCTGTGTCTTTGTCAGTATTTTCCTCCAAACTTTGAGAGATTTTGTGTGTCCAACTGCAGTTTGGTCATTTTCATCAGTCATATGATAATGACAAGGAACACTGACAGAGCCACTAGGTGCCCACTACTGCCTGTAACAGGCCACGTACCTTTGCCTATTTCATCCTTACACAGCTCTCTGCGGGAGGAACCATTCTTGCCACTTCATATTGCAGAAGAAACAACAGTGGGTCAGAGGGGTAAGTGCCGTTCCCCAAGTCACACAGGGATTAGACTCAGCCATGTGGCTCCTGGCCTGCTCTTAACCACGATGTTATACGCTCTAGTGCCTCAAGACCTAACTTCAGGAGGTCAAGACCTGCTCTGTTTACACACCATGGTATCCCGGGGGCTGGGAGGAAGGCTGGCATGTAGCAATGCGTTCACTCATAGAGTGAACCAGCAAGGTAACCAGGGCTACTAAGTTAGCTGATGACGGCCTGGCTACTTGTGCAATCACACTGGGAAGTAATCTGATTTCCCTTAGATTTTTAAATATTTTGAATGTAAACTGGGGACCTCCATTACTCCCTCGGCAGACCCGGAGACTGGAAACTCATCTTCTGCTTGGCAAATGGGGAAACTGAGACTCAGAGGTTGACTTGTTCAAGGTGACACCACCAGAGGCTAAAGCCACATTTCTGAGAGCACCTAACGCTCTTTGGGGCTGGGGGCTCCAGTATCCACGTCGCCTCTGAGAGGTGCCATCTGCAGCCCTGGCTTGGGGTACCACCAGGGGACCTGGGGATTCCGGATGGATGCTGCAGTGACCTGGATACACCCCAGCTCCATCCCCAGCATCACCCTCTACCATGCAAGGGAAGCACCAGCAAGAAAGATCCTAAGGGGAAACCCCTGAATGGAGTCACTTCCCAAACCCGAAAGGGAAAGGAGGTGGCCCACAGGCCTGTCCATGCCCAGCTGTGGCCCAGGTCGTAACAGCTCAGGCCAATAGGAAGCCCTGCGGGTGGCTCCTGGGGTGCAGAGGGGACCGCACTGAACCTGGCCCTCACCTTCCGTCCCAAGCTTTTGCAGGCCCACTTCCAGTTCCTTTCCATGTTTCGGTACCAGTTTAGAGGACCTCTGGGGAGAGATCAGAAAGTAAAAAGACAGAGGCGGTGAGTAGATGGCTCTGCTACAGACACCAACAGAAACCCACTCTGTACAGCCAGTCATCCTGGGAAGAGCGAAGGCTTCTGCAGGGGCCAGACAACAGAGCCCAGGACCCTCGCCTTGCTGTTGGGCGTGGTTGCCAAGCTCTACAGCAAGGCCTGATGTGAGGACACAGGACTCCACTGAGTGAGCTGGCGGCCTCTGCGTGGCCTTTTGGGACACACAGAAGCCGGTCCTACAGGATTCTCCAGAGAATGTCACCATATCACCTTGGAGGCTGGGGAGGTTGCTGATGGTGGGGAACACGGTTTAGCAGCCTCACCAAAGGCTACTCGCCTGCCCAGGGAGCCTGCCTGAGGGGGACATTGGGAGGTGGTGCCAAGATGCCCCCTCCTAATGCGACATTGAGAAGTAGAGCAAATACACCAAAATGTATGCACTTTTTCAGTTTATGTGGATTTCTATGTTTTTCTGAAGAAACAGCCCAGAGTTGCTATCTGAATCTCTGAGGATTCATGACTGAAAAGTAGTTAAAGACCTCTGCCCTATGTGGGACCCACAAGCATAAGGAAGAATAAGCTGAGCTGTCTCAAATTAGAGCAGGCTGAGCACACAGAGTAGTGAGCCTCCCGACCCTGGAGGCATTCAAGAAGAGGCTGGCCTGGCCCCCATGAGGGCTGTGGTGGAGGAGAACTGGCCCTCGCGCTGCACCTGGGGGCTGAAGATCCCTTTCCGCCAGTCATCTCTCATCTGTGTCTGTGGCCCTGTGCTCTCTTTACCTGAACCCAGACTTCTTGAACTGCTGCACATAGAACTGGATTTCCTCCTCGGTGACCATCCTGCTGAGGCTGGGCTCTTCCGGGCTCCTTACAAAAAGTCCTCCTGCAAAAAAAGCCACTGTTGACTTCCCCACCCATGGGCCAGGCGTCTGCATTCTAAGGCCTCTAACGAAGGCCACGCACGTCACTGCCTCTCGCAGACCATCTGAACTTGCCTAAGGCCTTGTGAGCGCCTCCATCTTTTGTTCCCTTGTCCTTTGCCAGAGTGAGCCCATCTCCTCGAGAGCTCCAAGCTGTGATCTTCCTGTCACACTGGAGCCTAACCATCCCTCCCACCCAGGCCACGACTTCACCAGCTATTGTCACAGCTCTTGGACCAACCACAGTCGATGGCTTTTTCAGCCACACAGCAGCTGTATCCCAGGTCCTGCAAGGCCCCAGCTCCTGCCAGCCCCTCATCTAAACCTTTCTCAGCCAGCTTAACTGGCCCCTTGGAGATATCGCCAGAGATTCTTGGAATTTTCATAAGGGCTTGCTCTGTTTTTCCTCACAGGCAGGAAGAGAACCCAGGCCAGGAGGCTGCATGCTGTTGCCTCCCGTGCGCCCCACAGACCCTCTGCGGTATCCCACTGTGGACCCCTGTCTTGTCTTCAGGGTGCTAGAGAGTTCCCCCAGAGGATGGCATGTGATGACCCCTGGCAGCCCAGGGACCACTGCAGTTTCACAGGGCACAGTCTCAATGCGGATGCCTGAACAGGGCCAGTCAGCATTTCTAGATATATGAGACCCAGAGGCAAAGGATCTGGGCATTCCAGGCTTTTGTGAGACACATCAAAGGGGTATGTGACCAGGACGTCACCCTGTGACGAGGCCACCCTAAGCCTCCCTGCCAGGCGGATGCTCCAGGCCCACTGTGCCTCAGGGCCCCGATGCAAGCATCCCAGCTGCTCTGCCTTCCATAGGGCGTGGGCTCCCCAAGGCCAGCCACTCTGCTTAGTGTGTCTATGTATCTGAGCATGCAGCCCCAGCCTCATACCCAGCATAAGCTCAGAGCATGTGAGGAATGAATGAATGCGTGAATAAACCAGTGACAGACGGTGAGAAAGAATAAGGGAATGTGGGTGTCGGGGAGGGAGGGGAGATGTTCTTGGGGCAGTGACAAGAGCATGGCCTTCAGGGTGAGAGGAGTTAACCCTGGATCAGCCACTCTGGACAAGTTACTTAACCCTCTGAGACACGATTTCCTCTTTGGAAGTTAAAAATAGTAGCATTTTTTGGAATGCTCCAAGGCTCAGAAATAATTTTTGTAAAGGGGGTCAGTCCAGAGTTTTATACACATGGTCAGCACGTGCCCAAACAAGTGACAGTGGCCATCGTTACTCATAAAAATGCAAGTGAATGATGTCAAGGCCACAGTGCTGCGGCAAAAATAGGGTCTTGTGGGAAGAGTGCTGGATCTGTTAGCACTGGGGAAGAGCTCCAATCTAACCTCAACTCTGACCCGTCACACATACCCAACCCAGGAGGGAGACAAGGCTGAGCTCCATGTGGGGGCACTGGAGACATGGCACCTGGAGGCAGAGGGGCCAGTGGACTGCAATGGAGGAGACCTGGGCGGGGCCCTGCCACACCCCACCTGCATATACCGGGTGACTCCCGAAGAGGTAAGCTCTCAATCCTGGGGTCCTTTTCCATGGAGGGTGGATTTGCCCTGGACAAGCTCTAAGACTCCTCCAAGCTCTTAACTGTTTGATATCTTGAAGCCACAGCTCCCTAGAGGACAGGAACTCCAGGCTGTGTGGTCAGGCCTGGGGCATCAGCCCCATGCATGCCGAGGGGACGTTGATTGGGCGACTTAAAGTTAAGGGCTAGAGAGCTCAGGGCTTTTGCCCACAGCAGTCAGACACAAAAACATCTATTTCACATTCAGCTGGTTCCGGATGTGGCCCTCCCAGCTCCCTTCTCTCCCAAGCATATTTCTTACCCATTTCACGGACATTATGCACCGATAAAACAGTCTGTAGGAAGAAAAGAGTTGGAAATGATGTCATGGGTGAAGCAAAGGAAATAGGCTCATCTGAAAACCCTGTATTGACAGAAGACCTCTGAGTACCATACAGACTGTAACAAACATGTGGAACTCCCAAGAAAGCCAGGGACCCCCTCACAGGAGTCAAATAAAGAGGGAGCTCACAACCAAAGCTCTGGGCTGAGGCTGCCCCAGGGCCCTTGCAGACCTTGGTAATGTGGAGACCTGGGTTTTCCACCACTGGGAATAAGAAGAGAGACCCTAGGCCTATGATGAGACGTTGAAGATGTGATATTCCATGCCCCTCCATGGTAAATCCAGTAAATCTGGGGTCTGTGATGTGCTATGCCCTCAATGAAAAAACTGACTAGAAAAAAATGCCCACATCATGATAAAGATATTAAAGGAGTTCCCCTGTTTCAGCTTGGTACTAAGAGGAAACCAAAAGACACCCCCTTGGGAATTCATAGCTATACTCCTGCCTTCCCAAGTGCTTGGATTTGAGTTTGCATTCTCTGCAGGATCTGGAAACCCCCAAAGTGTGAAGTAAGCAAGAACAACAACAACAATAACAACGAAGTGAGCCTCGGCTGGTAATGCCACCAGGATGCCTGGCAGAAGAAATCCTTAACCACCCATGGGGTCATCTCCTCAAGCCCAACTGAAGCAGACTGGTACAGATTACGTACTGCTGAATATGGGCTTATAAACCAAAATTACAAAACCCACACAACAAAGCCCCACAGCAAGGGACAGCAAACGCAGCAAAGAGCAAAATAAGAGTCTCCAAAAATATCAAATAATGGAGCTTGGAAGAGGGAGAGGGAGAGAAAAAAAGATAATTAGAAATGAATATGCTTAAAATGATTGAAGATATAAAAGGAACTGAAAATTAAAAATACAACAAGACTCTATCAAGGAGATCAGAATAATTTGAAAAAGAACCACATAAAACTGTCACAAATCGAAAAAACTATTTATTGAAATTAAAGCTTCAAAGATGGGTTGAACTGCAGATCAGACACTGCAGTGTCCAGGACAATTAATTGCCTAAAGACAACTAAGATACAGAAAGTCAGACCTGAGGCTGACTCACAAGCAATGACAGAAGTTTCTAAAATCAAATAACCTAGAATTCTATAGTTAGATACATGACTCTTCAAGATTAAAATTAAGATGTCTTCAGGCACCAAATATGAATTTACCACCAAAAGACTCTTATTGAGAGAACTACTAAAGGAGGTGCTTCAGGAAGAAAGAAACTGAACTCAATGCAAATGAGTGAGATGCAAGAAGTGATCAGTAAAGAAAGTGGAAAATACGCAACAGTCTGATCAGGCACTGACTGTATATAAAACAACGATAGTGATGATGACTCCTAACACATAAGACAGGAGGGTGTGCAGGTTACAGAGGTAAAGGTTCTAAACTCCTCTGCTTCTTCAAGGAGAGGGTTGGGGACATCCATTAGTTTCGGACTTGGGTAAGCTAATTATACATGTTAAAATGGTAAGGTAATAGCATAATTTCCAAGCCATCATTATTATAATCATTCTCTGACCTTGTGTGTCAGTGAGATATAAATTTTCCCATTAAGGACAGACCAGTAATGGGACCTCAATCATTCTGACTACACAAATAAAAGATGGCCAGATTGCTACTCCTGGTCCCTGCCACACACCAGGTACCCCACTTTGTTTACAGCTGCCCCCTCCACTCTTACACCCCCGTTCCCCACCCCTCACCTCATCGCTTGCTCTGAAGAAGATTTTGAAAGTCCGACTCAGGTTCTGTTCCAGTTCAGCCTCAGCCACTCCCTGAAACAATCAAGAAAGCAAAATGAAGGGCCCCCGAGAAATGGTGGAAACTGTACCTCTCCCTCATCTGACTGAAAGCAAGAAGCCCCCTACCTCTGCCCCATCCAGCCCAAGTCTCATCAGAGTTGCATTCATTTGAATTTTCATCATAAAACACATTTTTTAAAAAGGTTAACATAAAATACAAGATGCTAACTGTACTTCCCCATGGGAGGCAGGTTTATAGATGCTGCTTTCTTTGTGTTTTTCAATATTCCTATAATGAGAAGGTACTACTTATAATAATCTCTTGAAAGGAATTGGGAGGGGCCCAGTAGAGGAACAGGTTGGAGGCTGACTGGTAGTAAGAAGAGAGGGGGTCCAAGGATTGAAAAACCAAGCGGAAAAGCCAAAACCTATAAGCTAAATGCTCTTCCATTCAGTCACGTAAAGTTGGCTACATTGAGGCCAAGAGTTTAAGACCAGCCTGGGCAACATAGTGAGACCTCATTTTTACAAAGAAACTTCAACAATTTAGAAACTTCAAAACCAGCTCCTTTGATTTGGGTCTTGTTACAGACCATCAGATTGCCAATGGCTTATATTCTGCAGACAGAGCAGCACGGTTTTCACTGGTAAACAGCTGGGACGTACAGCCTTCCTGGGATAAATGACCAGGTCCTTCCAGTTCCTGGGAGCGGTATGGCATTGAATTGGCCAGTCTACACAAAGGTCTCTGGCTGTTCCCAGGTCTGTGGTTCATACATGGTGGGAATTCTCTGACTTGAACTTGCTTCATCAGCTCCACAAACACTGAGCTCCTTCTCTGGCAAACTGGACCAAGAGATGCCAATGTACAAAATAGGCTCCAGAACCTTCCTAATGGACCTGAGGATGGAGGAGAGGTTTGGATGAGGTCTAAAGTGAAGTGTCTAGGTCACTGAATGTCATGTGCTGAGGGCTGGGGAGGAGATTCATATTGGAGGCTCAGGGTGTGAAGTCTTCCTCTCCCACTTCCCCTCTCCTTCCTACCCCAACCCCCTCGAGAAGCTCTTCAACAAAGCAGACACCAAGAACAGGGGCATGGCTGGAAGGTGGAGACAGATCCATCCATGGATCCTACTCTCCTGGAGGGAGTAGCCTGGTTCATGGCTTTCTAGAGCATACCAGGACAATTTTAATTTAATTCAACTTCTGTCTTTTCCAGAAGTTGAAAGGCCCTGGATCTGAAAGCTGTTCCAGATGTAGCTTAGGAGAAAACAGCTGTCCCTGAGGCAGAGATCCACTAGGGGCAACCACTCAGAAGTAGTAAAATTCTTGGCCGGGTGCGGTGGCTTACACTGTAATCCCAGCACTCTGGGAGGCTGATGTGGGTGGATCACCTGAGGTCAGGGGTTCGAGACTGGCCTGGCCAACACAGTGAAACCCTGTCTCTACCATAAATCCAAAATTAGTTGGGTGTGGTGGTACATGCCTGTAATCTCAGCTACTTGGAGGCTGAGGCAGAAGAATCACTTGAACCTGCGAAGCAAAGGTTGCACTGAGCTGAGATCTTGCCATTGCACTCCAGTCTGGGCAAAAAGAGCAAAACTCCATCTCAAAAAAAAAAAAAAATCTTTCTGCAGTACAACTGCTGCGGAGGGACTGGTGCTACAGGAGGGAACCGAGTTAAGTGTGGCTATGCCAACTGGCTCTCCTCTCCTTCCTTCTAACCACCCACCTGCACACAGCTCAACGAGCCTGCAGGATGTGTTCTGAGCAGGCTACCTACTTCCTGGCCTCCCTGGTTTAACACATTGTGACTGTCACCAAGAGCGTCGACTTCTACCAGTTCGGCCTACAACACTGGACCCAAACACCGCCTTCTCCATGAGGTTCCACCTTTCCCACCATGAAAGGGTAACTCTGCTTTTCTTGGATGCCACAGAGCCTTGAGTGTGCTCTCCTGGGACCTTCTTATTGACAGGGACTCATCGTGTTCTCAGCAGTATCTGCGGCTGCCCTTAAGATACTGTCAGAGGAGAGGAAGGTCCTAAAGCCACATTCTTAAAGCATTGGTTCTGTGACCTGCAGTCCTCAGTGCTCGCACATTTTGAGAGGTTATTTATTTTTTTGAGATGGAGTCTTGTTCTGTTGTCCAGGCTGGAGAGCAGTGGTGCCATCTTGGCTCACTGTAACCTTTGCCTCCTGGGTTCATGTGATTCTCCTGCCTCAGCCTCCCAAGTAGCTGGGATTACAGGTGCCCACCACCATGCCCAGCTAATTTTTATATTTTTAGTAGAGACAGGGTTTCACCTTGTTGGTCAGGCCGGTCTTGAACTTCTGAACTCAAGTGATCCACCTGCCTCGGCCTCCCAAAGTGCTGGCATTATAAGCACGAGCCAGCACGCCCAGCAAGACGTTACTCTTCTGTTCTGCTCATCACTCATCACGAAAGCTCTGGATCTGTGCTGTGGCAGCACAGAAGGAGCAGAGACACTGCTCATCTGGCAGTGCTGGATCTGGGGGTGGAGAGTTTCTGATGAAAGCCATGTCTGCCTGTTAGTGACAGTTCCCTCTGTTTTGTAAGATTCAATTATAATGGTGTCAATGGCAGTTTCTGCAACACAATGATGAATGCCACAGCAAGAAATAGCCACAGGAAGAAGCACATTTAAGTGATGGATGGAAGCCCTGGTCAGCTCTGAGTGTGTGGCTGTCGGTCATCATTCTTATTTACTGAGAGCAGTCCTCATCCCAGAAACGGCTGCTGTTCATCAGCCCAGGGCCACATTTCAGTGTCTGGAGGAACCTGCAGAAACCTGGACAAGGCTTTGCCTCAAAAGACCCTTAAAAGAGAAAACCATGTCAAAAAAGGTCTGTAAAGAAAATCAAAGAGAGGCCAGGTATGGTGGCACAAGCCTGTAATCCCAGCACTTTGGGAGGTCCAGGCAGGAGGACTGCTTGAGGTCAGGGGTTCAAGACCAGCCTGAGCAACATACAGACCCTGTCTCTAAAGAAATTTTTTTTAAATTAGCTGGGCATGGTGGTGTGTGCCTGTAGTCCCTGCTACTAGGGAGAGTGAGGCAGGAGGACTGCTTGAGCCCAGGAGGTCGAGAATGCAGTGAGCTATAATTGTGCCACTGCACTCCAACCTGGGCAACAGAGTGAGAACCTCTTTTAAAAATGAGAAAGAAAAAAGTAAACGAATCTGCTCACTCACATAAAAGTGCAGCAGAGCAACAGAAAGAACAGAATGAAGCTGGGGGCCACAAAGGAGAGAAGATAACAGAAGATAGCATTTGTCCTCTGCTTATGTGCTTAGCTGAAACATTCTGACTCTCATATACAAAAGGTAACACTCTAAATCCTACAATGACAAATTTCTTTTCTGCCCTGGACAGGGGCTCCTCCTTTTGTGTTCCTGTGCACAGAATTTAAAGGATGGATTTAGAGTCCAATAAACAGTTTCAGGTCTAAGTGCTAGGAGTTACTAGCTGGGGAACTTCTTTCCCTGGCGCCTCAGTTTCCTCATCTGTAAAATGGGAATTTTGTAAATGAGATAATGCCCATGTCTTATAATGCCTGACACGTAGGAGGCATGCCAATAAATATTAATTATTATCATTATCATTATCTCCATCTTTTTTTTTTTTTTTAGAGACAGGGTCTTGCTGTGTTGCCCAGGCTGGAGTGCAGTAGTGCTGTCATGGCTTACTGTAACCTCAAACTCCTGGACTCAAGTGATCCTCTTGCTTCAGTCTTCTGAGGAGCTGGGATTACATGTGTCCACCACCATGTCTGGCTAACTTTTAAAAAATTTTTGTAGACATGGGGTCTTGCTATGTCGCCCAGGCTGGTCTCAAACTCCTGGCCAAGTGGTCCTCCCACCTTGGCCTCCCAAAGTGCTGGGATTATAGCCACTGCACCTGGTTGATTTTTAACAATTTTAAATTAATATATAATTAGGGCTCTTTAAATGATATCATCTGGCTTTAGAGTGGGCCATAGATCTAATGACCTGTGTCCTTATGAGAGCAAGAGGGAAACTGAGACATACAGAGACACAGAGGGGAGGATGCCACATGAAGACGGAGGCAGGGACAGGGGTGATGCGTCTACAAGCCGAGGGATTGCCAGCAAGTACCAGAGGCTGGGAGATGGCATGGGACGGATTCTCTCTTGGACCCTCCAGAAGGGACCAACCCTGCTGAGACTCTGATTTTGGACATCTAGTCTCGAGAACTGTAGAGAATTCACTTCTGTGGTTCCAAGTCACCCAGCAGCCTGAGAGCGGAAACACAAAAGGAGGGGCCCCAATCCAGGGCAGCAGGAAATTTGTCACTGTCTGTAGGATTTAAAGATACAGTGTTACCTTTTGCAGATTAAAGAGGGTCAGAAGGTCTCAGCTAAGTGCAAAAGCAGAGGACAAACGTGATCTTCTCCTATTTCTAGCCCCCAGCTTACACTAAAGCATATCTCCAGGCAGTATCTTGATGTGGGGTTGAGGGGAGAGGGTGAGGAGGGAAAGGTGCAGGGTCTTAATCACCCTGGGCTCAGCGGGGCCAGGCACCCTCCCCAGGAGCAGCAGGAAGCAGGTGTGCCAACTGCAGGTGTGGGTCTGGAGGGTCCCAGGATCCAAGGTGCCCTGGACTCCCCTCACCCCCCAGTTGTCTTCCCACGTGTGTATTCCACCCACTGTCAGAGGGGCCCTGGAAAGGCATGGCGCCACAAAGAAGATGGAGTTTTGTCTAGACTTGCCACTCAGCGCTGGTAGGGGCAGCACTCTCAGTCACCTTATTTGTCAGGGAGGTGCCCCCATGTTGGTGGGGGGGGACACAGCACTGCCTCCCATGCTCAGCCCTCCTCACAGACAAAGCGCCCTTCCACCAATCCCAGGAATTTCTCCTCCTTCATCTTCTCTTGTGTCCTTTCCAAGGTAGAGAACAAGCCACTGAGAGGCTGCACTTAATTGTAGCTATTGTTTTGTGGCTGAGAGTGGAGACAGCTGTTGAAGCCAAATTGCAGCATCCACGAAGCCC